TGGCCTTTCCCCTCGCTTGCTTTTGCTGTTGACGACGTGACTGACGAAGACTCTACCACAGTGCTCATCTCGCATTCACATTCCTGGATGAGGTGATTGACATTCTATTTGATGAGAAGTGATAGTGTCAACTGGTTTCTGGCATCAGCGGGCTGATTGGGCTTGAGGACGGCGGGTGGAGGATGGTTCTGTTTGCATAGCCGATGGCGTTGGGTCCTTTTGTCTCCCCTTTTTTTTCATATTGGTCGTTCACCACCCACATAATGTCTTGTGCCAGAAGGGAGCCGGATGGGGAGGCGGCGATGGAGACCGAGACGGGACTATCCATCTCGCTGTCAACGGATGTAGCGGGGTGCATTGGCGGCATGGGGCGCGGCATGGGGGTGGGGTAGGAAGGAAGCCTTGCTAAGCGTGTTGAGAGGCTGAAATCTGCTGACACCGTGGATGGTGTGCCCGATGTAGCGAGCGACCGACGGCTATAGATGTGGGTGGAGGTGGAGGGATTGGTGCGGAATAAAACATGTCCCCACGAGGTCCTGTCTTGATCGGGCCCGTCGTGCATTCCTCCGCGTGGGTCGCTCGGTCGGTAGATGGGGGCCCGGTCTGGCCACTGGGGAGAAGCAAATAGCGTGGCTGAAGTGGCCCAAGAGGCCATTCCCAGTCTTGGTTCGCGGGATGCGGCCCGCCGACAAACCCCAGCGAACAGTGCCATGACCTCGAAAGAAGGGTGCCAGAGCAGCCTGGGAGGGTGAAAGAGGCCAATGGCAACCTGGAACCTCCCGGGCTCCGCCAATTGGCAATTGGGCGTTGAGCGCGGAAGTCAGAATGCCCAGGTGGTGTGGTGTTGTTGCACAGCACTCGGCGAGCTCTGAATGGTGGCGACCGGAAGGCCGCCCATTCGCTGGAGCCAGGCCAGTCACCAGCAACGCCGCAGGCGGTCCAGTCGCCGTGGACGACAGGGCTGCGGTGCATCGTCCGCTTCGGCGCTAGCGTGGCCGCGTCGCTTGCTCTGCCCAGTGCCGGGCATTTCTCCATGCGCTGCTCCCCATTGGCCCCATTTTCCCTTGCAGTCGAGTCGATGCACAAGGGCAAGGCGCGACGACAGCTTCTGCGCTTCTCCTCGATTCCTCACCTCCACCCCTCCCCCCCCATTTTCTCTCAAGTCTCATCCAACCCCATCACCCCCCAACAAGCAGCCTCATCGAGGTAGAACTGACCTTGCAGCGAGGCCCCTCCCATCCCCAAGGTACGCACGTCACGGCACATATATTTCTGGATCCTCTCCCATCTGCGCGCTTCTCCCAAGGTCCCCCTCATCCTCCCCGGTTGGAAGAAAAAAAATTGTGTCAGCTGCCGCGAGGCTCCCACCTACCTAGGTAGCTCCCAGCGGCCAGCTCCCAACCCCCAACAACAGCACGCGGATTGACCCTCCCATTTTGGCTCTGGCTTTCTGGACGCGCGTGTTTCCCAACCGCCTGCATCCATCCACCATCTCGATTTCCATCCCATCCATTCCCTAAAGCCTTCCAAGCTCCAGCTTCCAACCCGCACCGCACCTGCGGACTGCGGACTGCGGACGACAGCCCTTTCCAATCCACGAGCGTGGGAGGCGTTCCGCCATTGACCTTCTCCCTGGGACCCAAGCCTCCGATCCTCCCACCTTTCTCACACATCTTGTATTTGGTAGGACCCGAGCTCTCGACAGACAACAATACCTGCCCAGCTGCCCACCATGACCGAGGTGTCTAGCACTCGCCTCTACCTGGGCAACCTGCCGCGGACTGGTGAGCTTCTTCCCCCTTCGAGGTCGCCCGGAACGGATCCCGCACGCGTCGCCGCGTGTGCGCAAGCAAGGACTGTCGCCTGACTCCCCGCCGGTAGCTACCAAGGCCGATGTTGAGGCCCACTTTGCGACCCATGGCACCGGCGAGATTGTCGAGATCAAGCTTATGAATGGCTTCGGCTTCATCGAGTACAAGGATGCCATGGACGCCCGTGACGTTGTGCCCGGTACGCTGCCCTCCCCTCACCCTCACCCCCCCCCCCCCCCCCCGCACGAGACGGTTTGACTGACCAGACGCGCCGGGCTACAGCTTTTCGTACGTCGAGACCCTTCCTCCGTCATCAATACGGGTCGTCCATACCCTCCCCCGTGTCTCGTCGTTCCGGTGGCTAACCGCAGCCGGTGTTTGAGAAGATGGATCCGACTTTATGGGCGAGCGCCTGACAGTTCAATTCGCCCGAGGCAATCGTCATCGAGAGACAGGCCCCCCGGGGTTCGCTGCCCGTGAGCGCGGCGATGCCCCCCGGCCCCGGCGCACCCCTCATCGTATGCAAATCAGCGGACTCCCTACCGAAACTAGCTGGCAGGTCTGTTTACCCTCCCACTCTCTTGTCCGCGGATAGTTGTCCGGCCGAACCGTACCTCTTCCCCCCAAGGCCTTTGAGCTCCAGGTCATGCTCCCTCGCAGTACCCTTGTTGGAATCTCCCCCGTCTCCAGTTTGGTTGCCCCGCTGGCCGGCCCTCGCTCCAGCCTCCTTGTGGGCAAGCAGTCTCGAGATTGAGGGAACGTGCTGTTTCCGGCCTCCGGCCTGTTCAGTCTCTCTGCCCTTTCAACTCGACGGCTCTTGCCTCTTCCTGTTGCTGCTGCTGCTGCTGCTGCATGGCCCAACAATCCCGGTGGCACATACCTCGGTTTGCGCCGTTCTGATCTTGATGAGCCGCGCCTGTATCGCATCGAATACGCCATCCCATAATTTCCGGACACCCACTTACAGGAACTCTGCCTTTAGGACCTCAAGGATTTCGCCCGGCAGTCTGGTTGCGACGTGGTTTACTCCGAGACGGGCAGGAATGGCAACGGAGAAGGGTATGTTCCACCCAGCGCAAGGCAGGGAGTGAGTGCATTTGCTCACTTTGATAGCTTTGTCGAGTTTGAGACGGCACCCGATCTTCGCACTGCGGTAGACAAGCTTGACCAACGCGAGTTCAAGGGTCAGCGTGTCACCTGTGTTGCCAACGTAGGATTCCTTGCTCTGTCCCGCTGGCTTATTTGCTCACCTTTCCCAGACCCAACCGGACATCCCGCGTGGCGACCGCACTAGGTCGCGGTCTCCCCGCCGTGGGTATGCCCCCCCCGGTGGTGACGAGTACCGACGCGGACCTCCCCCACGCGCCGGGTATAGCCCTCGCCGAGAGGGTGGTGGTGGTGGCTATCGCGAGGGCTACCGTGAGCGCTCCCCGCCGCCGCCGCCGCGAAGGGACTACTACAATGATCGCCGTGGTGGCTATCACTCTCCTCCGCGCCGCGGCCCAGTGGATGACTATCCGCCTCCTCGCCGATACGACGAGCCGTACCGCGGCGGCCCTGGTCCTCGTGACTACGCTCCTGACCCCTACATGAACGGACGCGACCCTTACGAGCGTCGCCCGCCTCCCCCCGAGTTTGCACCTCCGCCCCGGGAGGCTTACCCCAGGGAGGCCTACCCTCCCCGCGACTACGACCGCCGCTACAACTAGAAGAGGTCCCCGTCCACCGAACGAAAGCTCCACGACCTTAAAGAGACGCTTCCCAAAGGCCTGGGCGCTCGCCCTCAACGCCAGTAAAGTCTGTCTCTGCAACGATACCGAGCAGGCGGCTGGGCAGTCGATGTTTTTGGTGGAAGGGTGCAGAAGGAGTCGTACCGAATCCCTTGTCTATTGTTGATTGGAAGGAGGAAAAAGCTCTAGGCAGTACCCGTTATCCGTCATGTTTTCTTTTCCAGCGTGGCGGCGGGTCGCTTGGGACAGGGTTGTCGATTGTCTCTTTTGGGAGGTTGCGTTATCGGGATTGTTCAGGGGGCTGAGCGGGCTACATATGTCTACGTCTCTGTCCCCAGAGCGCACGAGTGCTACAGCGAGAGGAAAAATCAATGCGATGAATACGTCGCCCAGATGTCTTGACATGTGTTGCATTCGCGTGAGTGTTGTGTGTGGATTGCTTCCCTGGCATAACGTGTATGCCGGGGCCCTTTGAGGTTGCTAACTCTTGCGAGTGTGGTCTGAGTAGATTACGGCTGCCTTGAGTACGTGTGTTTCTCGTCGTGGCCACGATTTTTCCTCGGCCGATGGATGTAGGCCGTTGAGATGTGGTCGACACAGGGGGAACAAGCTGACAGCATCCATAGGGGATGATGATCTTGAGATGTAGTTGAGTGCAGAGGGTGAGGTCTCTTTCTCACTGAATAGGCCAAGGCCGTGGGATATGCAAATGCCCAGGCTCCCTCCCTTGCGTTCAACGGTGATTCCCGTGATGGCATTGGATGTGTCTTCGTTTATCTTGGAGCCTTTGCCCCTGGCAACAACTTCTCTACACTACGACAGTGAATTCTCGCATCTTCCGGGGGAGGGGGGGGGGTTGTACATTTTGTCCACGACAAATATATGGCAGGGGGTGATTATAGGAGGCTAGAGGAGGGGCGGGCCCACATATGGGTCGAGGCAAAAAGAGAAGCAGATCGAGAGAAGGGGACAAAAAGAAGTACACACCTGCCCATGACAAGCTTGAACTGTCAACCTTCGCATGACCAGATACATGAGAAGCCGGGGCTCGCTTGTGTATTAGTACGACACACTTGACCAACTGAGTTAATCGGGCTTGGTCGTTGTGGTGGGGGGTTGCGTGGAGGGCGTGGAGGAGAGGGTTTTGCATGGGGAGGGGACAGGTTGGCTGTTTGTGCGTCCATAGGTGAGGGTTTGGACTGTTCACGAGTGGGATGGAGCTGGAGACATCGTGGATGCCGTGTTAGTCGGCTTGAGGCTGGTACCTATTCGGGGTGCTGGGATGGGGAGAGGAGGGCTTCGGGCTGGTGATGAAAAGACATGCCCCAAAAGTCACCTGCCGCTGAAGTGCACAGAAGAGAAACCTCGACCAGAAAAGCCCTCAACATCCACACCCACCCCATCCCACAAACCGGTCCCAGCCAAAATTCATATTGCGGCTTGCAACCTTCATCAACAAGGGCTTGTGGTCTAGTGGTATGATTTCTGTTTTGCAATGTCTCCTTCGGGTCGACGTTCCAAGCTCTACAGACGGTCCCGCGTTCGATCCGCGGATGGTCCATCATGGCAGCACTCCTGTTCCCCACACCAAAACTACGGTGAATGCTTCACATTCACACACACAAACACATGTTTATCATCCGTAGTATAGTGGTCAGTATGTGAGCTTGTCATCATCTTCTCCTTGGAGAGGAAGCGATTCGCTCGAGACCCGGGTTCAATTCCCGGCGGGAGAGAAGGGGGTTCAGGGGGATAGGGGTGCTGTCATTTTTTCCTTTTTGCTGTCCCTTTATGATTCTTAGATATAGCACTGCGTTGAACATTAGAGGGGTTCAGACGTACCTTTTCTCGTCTCCCCGACCCTCTCCCACTGTTGGAAAGTGACCTTGCTCGGCCCTGCCCTTTTGGCATGTGAAAAGCGCCGCTGTATAGCAATACCAACGCCGAACGTCATAAATGTCTGTACTATGCACAAACAACGTGTTTCGCGCAGCAGGCAGACCTAGTATGCACAAGGGCGGGCCTCGCGAAGGGGAACTTCCCCTGTGTCCGTCTATTTAAGGTTTTGATGTACCGAGATTGTTTCATCAGCACACACTAGGTCGTAGCTACTTCGACTGTGGGGTTGAGTGTCTGATGCTTCACATGCCATTAAGACAAAGGAGCCGAAATACTCAGGTGGAAGGAGCTTGAACTGTCCCACTGTCCGGGCCAAGGGGGTTGGCGTCCGTTATGCCACACGGCGGCGTCTTCTACGTCCTACGCTCGACTCCACGTCTCTGTCCTTTCCCCGGGACTCGCTGGCTCATGCTGGTGGCTGGGATTGATGCGTCTCGGGGCGGGTCGGGAAGAGACGGAGGCCATGACGTTGCTGTTCAGGGCAGAGGTATCCACGGTGAAACCGAGACCCATGACCTGGCGTGAGCACATGCTCTCCGTTTTGGTGCCTGGCGAAGCCGAAAAGGCGCAGGGACTTTTTAAGAGGCGCGTGTCATGAATCTAGGGATGCTAGAATGTGCTTTGCTCTCTCCTACGACGATGGGGCATCCAGTACATGCCTTGAACCATCCAGGCAGCTACTTGGGGAGGCAAAGAAAGCTTAGCTGGCAGCTTGATGCGTCTGATGGGTTCGGGGCCGAGATGTCATCCAAAAGGCTTACGCATTGGGGCCTTGGTCGATGGCGTAAAAAGGCCTTTGAGAAGATATCTCGGCATCTTGACTCTGGTGGTCCCAGGATCAGCAAGTTGTGCTTCCACATGGCCCTCGGGGACGCCGTTCTTGCTCCCGTTCTTGGCATGGTCAAAACTGGGGAAGCGGAGATGGCAGGTGGGAACCGTGACAAAGAGAAAAAGTACCTGATCAAGACGGTAGTAGCGTGCTAAACCGGCACCCCTGAGCGAGTCAGTGAAGCCGTGGGCGGACCTTGAGGCTGATAGCGACGTTGCGGATCACAAAAAGGGGCTTGAAACTCGGAAATGCACCGTTTGCCACGCGAAGAGTGGAAAAGAAAAAAGGGGAGGAACAACCAGGTCATCTGGAAGATCCCTGGAGCTCACAAGGCTGGAGCCGGCCCCCGTCTCCAGACGAGAGCCAAGGAAGAAGCCGAGGCTCAACCGGCCGGGGAGCCGGAGCCGGTCGTCCGCCGAAGGCATGGAAAGGCCCGATACCCTCCGAGGCCCCGTAATTCCGCCGGAAGCTGACATAATAGCTCATGCTTCCGCGTCCGCGCGGATGAGTGCCCAATTTGGGAGGGCACGCCGTGATGTTGAGTCATTACTTGATTCTGTCAGTTTTCACATTGGCCGAGAACCACCGTCTTGTCGTGTTCCTGTCGCCATGCCCAAATCATAGATAGATATAGGCGGTCCCCATTGGCAGAGGATGTCCCGAACAACTATAATGTGCAACATTCTGGGACGGGACCTGATTGCTGTCCCGTACGGATGCTGTAAAGGTGTTGTGAAGGCAAGATATCGAGAGGCCAATCAGACTCTATGGATGCAGTTGGTGTTGACCGCGGATATCGATCCGTCCCCACCCCCCCTTCCAGTTTCGATCGGAGCTGCTTGGAAACGGGCTGCGGGTCTAGACTTTGGGTATATCAATGCTACTATTAAATTGAGGCCGAGGGTTCCGTGACTTGGTGACTCCGTCGCCGACCAAGCGGCCGGACCAGACCCAGGTGCCGAGGGCCAATGGACATGGGAATTAGTGAGGGAGTGAGGGTCGGTTGGCAGAGTGGCAGCCAAGCCAGCAAGGAAAGCAGCAAGGAAACGGGCGTCGAGGGCCTAGCACGGCAAGCGAGAGATGCAAGTCATAAAAGTCGGTGAGGGCAGATACGGACTTTGTCGTGACCACGGTCTTCTGATTTGCGCAGAGACGGCAAACGGGAAGGGGGGCGAGGGGACAAGAGGGAACCAGCCCCTCATGCACCCGATAACACCTTATCGCAGGTGTGTCCCCTTCCATGACGGGCTTCGTTTGCGCGGGGCTTTGCTGCCTCGCAGCGCATGCGGCGCCGGGGGAGCTGCGATCCAACCGAGCTGCATCTGATGGGCTGTTCGTGATCACTGATGGCCGACGAACAGAATACTGTAATACTACTGTAAATTCTGCAATAATTTTCTGAAAAAAGAGACGCCCCAAAATTCCCAAACGTCACACCCCCTCCAACTCACACTCACAGATGCTTAAGCCCTATGCGGCGGTACGGTGTCCGGACATGCTGCTGCAGTCACGAAACGCACCTCACTCGCCATCGGACTCCCACCTCCTCACCCCCATTCCGTTCACGAGAACCGCTCGCCCTAATGGGAAGCCCTGAGCTGGCGGCACGACGCTTTGCTCATCTGATAAGGGCGGCTGGCCCCGTCGGTGGACGCCCCAGACGAAGATCAGTCGCACTTGGCGCACGCCTAGGAGACGTCGAGATGAGGTCCTGCCCCTATCAATCCCTATCACGGCGGCTGTCGGGCTGTGACGGTGTGTGACGGTGACCCCCATTGGAGTCCAGCCCATCCATCACAAGACAGTATCTCAGCTCTCAGCGCCTCGTCGATTTCTTTTCATGCCTGCGCTCTCTCCTTCCATTCCCTCCCCGACCGGGGCTGACGTGCCTGTTGTTCAACTTGTTCGGGTGCCAGCAAACACACACCCCTTTCTCAACTTGCCCACCTCCAGGTTGGGCTGCGCATCGGGCGGAGGCATGGTGACCGCCATGTACCAAGACAGTCGCAATAACATCGCGACGGTATTCGTTAGGGGTGAGAGAGGGTGGGAGGGTGGGCGAGACGAGGTGAGGGCAAACAGAAGCCGCCCAAGGCGGTGATTCACCGACTCTTGTCTTGCCACCATGCATTGGCTGCACTGGAATAGCATTTTGCAGCGCTATCAACATTGTGGGACTTGGGTGTCTGTGGCAGTCACGGCAGGGCTGAGTCGCTGAGCTTGGCCTGTCTGGGCCACGGTGGATGAAGAGAAAACGGAATCCCAATCAATGTCGTCACCGTCGCCGTCGCCGTCGCGACAACCGGATTTGGACACTCAAGTTAATGGCGTCGTCGGATTGCAAACAGCAAACAAGCCTCGGCTGTGCACCCAGGACCTTGGTATCATACGGTAGAAAAATACCTGATGCTCTGCCGGGATGCCTTTCCCTGCAGCGTCGTCTTGCTCTCGGACGTGTCGGTTGGATTCGCAATCCGCGGTCATGAGAAAAATGGAAGCGAGGGGCAGCTGCAAAAAGAGATCAGACAACCCAGCGTATGTGTCCTGTCTTTCCTTACCCCGGCCTCGGACCGCAGGGTCTGCTCTCCGACATCGAGGGCGGTGAGGCCTTTTTACTCGCACATGCTCACATCTTTGATCCCGTCTTGCTCGGCGAGTGGTCGTGAAGGCGGGGTTGTGTACGGCTTGGACAACTTCCGCGCATGGACATGGGATGGACCAGGAAAACAAAAGACGGGAAGGAGATAGAGACTTATCCCGCCTTGTCACTAGACTCAGTCTCGCCCAACCCCCCATTGCTAACTGACGGGATCCATGACTAAAGAAGACTCGTTCAAAGGCACAACATCAAACACGCACTGCAAAAAAAGAAACTGCTAGGTTGCCACGGCGGAGACAGGAATGACCCGCATCCTCTCTCCCACCCGGCAAGCGACCTCGCCATCATCAAGGGCTCACGAATGACACTGCGCCGTCACGGAAAAAATGGACCCGACCTACACCCCAACGAGGTGCCTCTATCTTTCCTGCATCAGACGAAGCCGATTACATAAAGTCCCAGTGTCCGGGAAGGAAAGCGGCGTCGGGCCCGACGTAGGTCTCACCCCTGCTGCAGACGAAGAACAGGCAGACCGCAACTTTGAGGTTTGACTTGCATCATGGGCGCCCGCCTTACGTACCCGTGTCAAGACTTCACGAAACAACAAACGGATCGACAGCGCTTCAGAGGAGAAGATGGTATACTCGTCCCTGGGGTTTCCAGAACCACTCCAACCAGACCCCTTCAACCTCAACTCTCACATCGGCCCCCCAACCAAGAACACCGTCTCCTGTCGTCATCTCCCAACCGGACACCTACCTACCCAAGCCCTGATCGTACCTGATGACCCGCCACATTGAAGCGACACTTTCCAAGCGGCGGCACTCAACTTCAACGGCAGAATCCCGCCGCCCGCCCGGCATCCAGCAAAAGGCGGTGGATAAATACTAAAGGGGTGGAACAACCTTCCGCCCGATCGCCCCCCCCCCCTTCCAGAAGCCAGACATCCATGGCACCAGCAGAAAGGTCTCAGCCAGTCCGGAACTCGTCCCGAACGAGGCGGGCCCGGTAAAATGGGGCACGACACTCCTCAACCATACCGACGTGACATTGGGCTTTGGTTGGAACGGGCGCGCGCGGGTAACTGGCCGAGGGTAAGCGCCGCCTCTCCGCCGTGGTGTGGTGTGGTGGTGCAGGTGTGCTGGGTCAATAGGTAGGTAGGTATATGTGTGTGGCCCGGTGTATGTGTGTGTGGTAGGTCGTGTCTGGAGGTGGTACTGTGGTATATGTTTGGGAGGGTGTGAATGACCACCTCTTTGACGACGTGTCTGCCGACAGACGTCGTCAGAGGCGCATTCGCTTGTCCTGGTTGGGGGGTGGGGGGGCATGGTCTCTAGATTAACTTCCCCCTCTTCTTTTTGGTGGTGGTGTGGGTGGTTGAGGGCTGTTGATATCTGAATGACGATGGG